TTTTTAGTCAACTTTTTTATTACGCCTGTACGACAGCTGGCACTCGCAGCAAACAGGTTTTTGTCAACTTTCCCGCGTTTTATTCCGTTTCCTAGGATACAGGCCCCCGGTTGCGAATTATGAATATAATGTCGATAAGTTTATTCTAGCTTCAACATTTAGCTTCAAACCTATAGTAGAGAAACGAATGGGCCAAGAAGTGACCTTTAAGGAACTCCACAGCTGAGGTTATTCGATCTGGGCATTGTTGCATGCGATTTTCCAGCTACGACTGGAGAGTCAATTATTAGCTATTCTCATGCGGATGCCATTGTCATTGCACTTATTTGACAGAAGGCCATGATCGACATATCAACCGGTGCTATAATTATAAAACAATAGTTGATATACCCGCCTCACTATATACTGTACACTATCTATATGTAATCTAATTTTTCCCACTATACGCACGCTTACTTAATTAAAGACAACGAAGATGCCACATGTTTAATTCTCGGCTTAAAAATTATAATCGCAATCATTATTTTAAAGGAGTATGCGATGAACAGCTGGATGTCTGTTCAGTGTTTAACGTCGCAAAAATTAGTTAATTCAAGTTCTGTCTCAATTCATAGTAACGCATTCTTGACTGAAGGACTTTTTCGAATATCGACACTATACATGCTTGAAAACATGCATAGACTAACAAATCCACCATGAACAACTTTCAATTGTCTCAAGGATTCTTTTTCGAAATGGACAAAATTTTGATCTAGACAATCTAGACAAAAATTTCATCACAGCTTGAAAGAGCATCACAAAATTAGTAATATTCCGAAGTTCCGTTGCGAAATGTTGTAAAATGCGGATAATATAGCCCTGCGAAGTTTGCCGTTTTTCAGTCATTTTGTATTACGGACGGGAAATTTGATACCGCTTTCTGAAAAAAGGTATCAATTTCCCGCGCGTAATACAAAATGATTGAAAAACCTTAAACTTCGCAGGGCTATATTATCCGCATTTTACAACATTTTGCAATGAAACTTCGGAATATTACTAATTTTGTGATGCTCTTTCGAGCTTTGGCGGAATGTTTGTCTAAACTTGTCTAGATCAAAATTTTGTTCATTAGGGAATAGGTCCATTGAGTGGTTAAAACGTTTAAATGGGCGTTTGCAGACTGAACTCGCAATGCCATACATTTGCCAAATGGGCGACAAGCATTTGGACACATATTCGAAAATTGGATGAAAATTTAAATGCTAAAAGTGGAAAAAGCGATTTCAACCGTGCGCTTTAAATTGTTCATTTTTTATTGCAATGATTCCTTAACATTTAAGTGCTCAAAATCCTGATCTTCATAAATACAAAGCAGGGAGCTTAAGCAAGCGATGTTATTGTCAACACGAATGTCAGATTACCAAGGCGGAACTGGATTAAATACAGTGTTTGAGTCTTAATTTTATGGTAATCTTCAACGCAAATGACAAAACATAAAATTTCTAAATATTTTTTCTTCCTTACACAAGCGCTATGATGCAAAATGCCGCCAAATTAGTTATACCTAAGCGCGTTATTAACACACAATAACCTGTCCAAAGTTGGATTACTTTGGATTACAAATTTTTATACACCCTGTATCATCAACGTGAATAAAACTGTTATAACACGCAAGCAATCGTTTATAACTACAGCAGTTTCGAATAATGATTATATTTTTCGTACCTTTTTGATTATATAAAGATGTTGAACTCAGGGTTATGCAGACTTTCATCAGCATCAGATGTGTCTTGCAGTGTTTTACTGTTGAGTTCACATAGTCCTTTATCGATTCCAGAAGCTTTGTAATTTACTGACGCACATGATCCGTCTCCAACGCAATTTATACAACATTCTAGCTCGCTTTCTACCTGACTTGTTCCAATGACATGATTCGTAAAGTAATTTTGTACCTTCCTGTGAAAGATGGCTTGCTTTAGTTCCTTAATCGAGCATTCGCTCGGTTTTATTTTTTGCAAGACGAAAACTAACGCGCAGAAGTTTAATAAAACCCTCATTCTAAGACATGCACAGCGAACTCGCCTGTGTTCAGCGCACTGTTTTGTAATTTGTTCTGCTAGTCAATTAGCGGCTATAGAGTCAATGAGCTACAGTCTGCATTTCATTATCAATTTTTATACAATACGATTGGCTTTTGGGTGAATTCTTTTTTAAATATTCATCAAGAATTATCATTAATTATGTTACGGGTCCTTTTATGCGAGCCAAAATATGGCGCTACCTATTTTAACAGGCAGCTAATAAATTTTTCACAAACGACTTGTCAGACAGGTGTACAATAGTGAATTTGTAACAAGGTAGCTTCTTTAGGATATTTGCGCTACATCAATATTAATAATTAACGCGCGCTAAAACGGTAAAAACGTCTATAGCTAAACAGTTAGCTTAATTATCCCATGTTATGAAGTAATTGAATCCATTCGATTTGCCTCATGCAGAACTTAGGCCCTATAACGAAATTAGCTTATTAAGGCCATGTTCAGATGGCGTTCTTTTTATGAGTCAAATCTAATGAGAATTAGGGTCCACTCAAATACTAAAGTTCGTTTTTTTATTCAAATGTCGAATTCTTTTAGTCGAATTTAATAGTAAACTTATGTAAAGTTATACATTTGTCCAGCGGATTCTCAGATGACAGTTAAATTTCAATGGAAATTTTAAATCTATTGTCAATAAAAATATGTGTTTCATGGTAGCTTCTGTAAACCTCATACATCAATGTAACTGAATAACGTCATCTGTACAATACTTAACGGCTTCTGAATAAATGCCGAAACCTGAAGCCGTGAACAATATTTTGTGTATTGCTGATAATTATAATATTATTTGACAATTAGTCGCCGAAGGCGAGGTGATTACAAGCCTCTATACTCATTGAGCCAAAGGCGACGTGAATATAGGCTTGTAATCATGACGGTACCAAGCCTGAAGTGACTAATTGTTTTTGTACAATTTCAGTGTTGAAAAAGTTTTATTTATAAAAACAACTAATACACGTGTTTATTTTATGAATATAATTTAAATAATTTACTTCAGTCTGATTTTAAGCCATTTTTTTGAGAAAAGCAATTGTTACTGCTCAAAGCAGTCTGAGCAGTAAGTATTGCCTCAAAGCCGGTTACTGCAGAAGGAGCCAATCAGAATGCTCAAAAGGCCAATTGTCAATACTGAATTATACTAAATGCTTTTAGTTCTTTGCTTTTAGTGCTTTTGCCGCCTTTTGACCCGCATTGGTGATTTGTTCACTTCTGCGCATGGCAACTAAGTCATAATGTGGGCTGAGTATGTGTAATTGGGGGCAATTCTGATCAGGGTAAAAAGAATTATTTTGCAATTATACTAATTTATCTATTATAGATACGGCACATGAAATAAATGGCGTCTGAATGGAAGTCGTGCCACGGTGGAATAAAGCGACCCTGACGGGCGTATTTTATAATTTTGGTCGACGTAAATACAAATCGTGGTATTTGATAATAATTTTACATGTTCCATTGTTAGCACAATCACAAAAAGTAGATATAATAGAAAGATCATGCGTACTGAAGTGAGCAAAGGAGCAAAGCTTTCGAGTTAAAACTAACGTGTTTTTTCTTCTTTACTTTTCTCTTTACCAAAATAACCAACGTTCTATATATATTGGGTATGGGTATAAAACACTATATTTTCTTGCCCCCATAAGTGTCAACAATTCTTTATTATTCAGGGTGTCCCAAAAAACCCAATAACTATTGAAATGACCAATAATAATTTCATTGTTAGAATTTGAATGCCTAAGCAATCTGTTGGTTCCCACGAGTGCATAAATGATTGACATAAGTAAATTTTATGCATAAAGAAACTATTTAAGAAGCTGCTTTAAATTCCCAAGAGCAGAAAATTGCGCACTTTACAGGGAGATGTTCTTAAATAAATTGTAATACATGCACCTTGTCAATATTTTACGCATCATTACGTTCAGCTTTTTGGTAGGGCATTCAATTTTAACAATAAGTGATTTCAATAGTTTTCGGGGTTTTTTGGGACACCCTGTATAATACCTTATTGAATTCTGATCGTTTAATTGGCTGTTTATGGTCACGTAATATTGAATAGAAAATTCCATTTCCCAAGAGTGTAATGAAATACGTTAATTGCACTCTTTGCGAGTGCAATTGTACTAGGCCTATACGTTTTATTCCATTGCACTCTTTGTTTTTTCAACAAATCGCATTCGTCAAAATGCTTCTCATACGAATCTATTAGTCTATTTTGGAATTATATAAACAAATAATGAATGTTTATTCGTGCAATGGTAAGAATATTTTCATTCGGTGAAAGATGGAATGTTCCATTCAACTCGGCTGTCGCCACGTTGAATGGAACATTCCATCTTTCTTCTCATGAATGCAGCATTTTTTGTCATCCTGAATGCAGCATTTTTTACGTCATTGGACGAACGTGAATTCTTGTTGCGATGTTGGAGGAGTTACGTTAGCAGACACCGGATCGTTTTTCTCAAACTTAGCTGTTCATAAGGCTATTTTAAAAGCTTCAATTTATTGCCGTAACCAAGTTCCTTAGCTGTCTATCTTGAGCTAAAATTGAGACCACGTGTTGGCCTCGTTGTCTTTTCTACATCTGTCTGTTAGTTAAAGCATAACTTGTCACCTCTATAGCCAAGATGACATACTTTTGTGAGGCGTGTATAGCAAGGCCATGCATATGATTCCTGCCTGAGCGCCTACTGTTTAATTCTCGCAACCGCTCCTGATAAGTCTAAAATGTGTATAAATTTGCGTTCGAAAATTTCATCGGCAAAGGACAATTCCATGCAAGAGACGAATCTACTATTGTATATATTGCCTGAAATTTAAAGCAAAAAAAATAAAGAACTATGCTAGATATTCAGCTACAAAATGTGGTCATATTTTGCCAGTCTAATATTCTGCGACATGTTCGCCACTGCGAGTATCGCAATGCTACTGTACAAATATGTATCCGGATGCTGCAAATTTAGTGCCAGGCTCATTGCACAAAGCATAACCGTATGTAATACTAGACTTTTTGTCTTCAGTACTATAAAATAAAGTACCCAAGCCTAAAAACGCCTTGCATGTTGTATTAAGGGAAAATCCAATACGTGCATACACGTATTCATTACAGAAATTAAATCCTTCATGATAACCATAGTTATGACCATTTTTCTCCCAAAACGAACGATGAACGACAAGCGATTTCCATGCTTTCACCCCAACGCTTGTTGATGTAAAGTTTCCATCTTTGGTCAAATTATACAATGAGCTTGCTTGATGGTCGATTATAATCCATCTTGTAGGATTGTTGTTGACTTTCATTCCGAGGCATATTTTGTTAAACGGTGTGTTCCAGTACGAAGCGAGTTTCGTTTCTTTGTTTGTCAGTCCTTCGAGCCCGTCGTTCAACGAGTAGGTTTCCTTGTTGGTCCAGTAAGACGAATTGTAGCTGAATGTATTCTTTAAAAAAGTTGACAAGGTATCAGGCCATGTTCAGTCATGACAAAACCTCGGTTGGCAGGGATACAGTTGACTGAAAAATTCAAGGTGAATTTCGACGTTTCGTGTGAATTCCCTTCGTCGGGAAGTTGGCAAGGCCTTCCAGATGAAGGGTCTTCGCTCGAAACGTCGAAGTACTCCTTGTATTTTCCAGGTAGTTGTATCCCTGGCAATCGAAGTTTTGTTATTATTTGCACTACGTTCCTATATACTCGAACAGACCGTTAGCTATAATAATTCTGACACAGTGTTATGTCGATTAGGTTGAAAAATAATGCAGTGGCGATGTGTTTCACTATGTTGTCGAAGCATAGCATATCGAAGGGAAGATGGCTGTGAAACTCATTAGAATAACAATATGTAAATCACAATATTTGTGGTGTTACTCTGAGTGTATATCCACACCGGGCGAGCTTGAAAAATATGCCCGGCCACGGTGAGATTCGAACCTACGACCTTTGGAATACTAGCCCAATGCTCTTCCAACTGAGCTACGCGGTCAGGACGGTTCGAGTAAGTGATATTCCGGACAGAATCTAGTTCCTTTGATACCAATGTATTCTAGTAATATGAATTTTTTTCTGTGTTGGCGTAGTGTACTCAGGTGAATATGATATTTGTGGTGTTACTCTGAGTGTATATCCACACCGGGCGAACTTGAAAAATATGCCCGGCCACGGTGGGATTCGAACCTACGACCTTTGGAATACTAGCCCAATGCTCTTCTAACTGAGCTACGCGGTCAGGACGGTTCGAGTAAGTGATATTTTGGAACAGAATCTAGTTCCTTCGATACCAATGTATTCTAGTAATATGAATTTTTTTCTGTATATAAATCATTATCTATGTTGGTCAAGGTTTATTCATAAATCTGGTCCTTCACCGTCACGTGTGTATTGTATTCTTGCCCAACTAACCAATAGCAATGTTTTAGGAAAGTCACCTATCCATGACTCGAACAATAGGGAAACTGGAGATTGCTATTGGTGGATTTGGTAAAAGTACAATACACACGTGACGGTGAAACGACCAGATCAGGGCCGTAGCGAGGTGGGTATTGGGGGGTTAACCCCCCCAACTTTTATAGAATTAACATATTCGGAAAATCGGGTTGGCCATTCGGAAAATTACGGCAATAATAGTATAACAAAATTACAGTTGTTTAAACAGAGAAAATATTATAACATGGCATTGTTAGTATAAACCATTGGTTTAAACTGATTTACGAAATCACGGCATTTACATGGATAACGTAAAACAAATCGTAAATCGGTAAATGTTTTTCGGTTTATTACTTCTCAGAGCCGTAGCAGTCGGGAGAAGGGGGTGGGACTGGGGGCAGCAGACTTACAATAATTTGCTGATAATCATTCTTTTTTCAAAATCATGCATACCTTATCATTTGAATAATATACCTTTAAAATACTGACAATACATCTTTTTCCCTTTTGAATGAAATTTTGATCTAGACAAAAATTTCATCACAGCTTGAAAGAGCATCAAAAAATTAGTAATATTCCGAAGTTTCGTTGCGAAATGTTGTAAAATGCGGATAATATAGCCTTGCGAAATTTGCCGTTTTTCAGTCATTTTGCATTTTGCCCGCTGTGGACGCATACTCAGACTAACATCACAAATATCATACTAAAACTCTGTTTTCTGACCATCAAAATTCTGTCAGAACTTCCCCCAAAGTCCAGGAAATGGCATTTCAGAGAATCTAAATTTAAAAATTTCCTCGGGCCTTCGGCCCTCGTTCCCAGCCCCCAATAAAAAAGAGCTTCCTATGGCACTGCATGCTTCTGTAATATGTCTTTGCGTAAACTATGTGTATTTTTGTTTGTAAATTGCATCTTTATTTTCCTGATAGCAAACACCTTCGTCGTTTCGTATGCCATGAAATATTCGGAAATTTTTTTCGTCATTCGGAAATTTTTGGCCTACACCCCCCCCCCCCCCCCCCCCCCCCC